TGTTGACTGGAGTCTCATTGATTTGACTGTTTCATTCAATTGTTTTCACTTGGGATCAAGTAGACTTCCACGCTGGACATCTGATCATCCCAGTAAGACGGCAATGGACAACCGTGTCAACCTAAAGCTTCATCCATATCCGCCCATACTCCCAAATTTCCTTCAACGTTCAACTTCCCATTGTCGACTTGCTTCCAAAAGGCCTCCAACCTCAGTGCCTAAAATCCGACCTGTTCATCGTAGTCACATCAATAGTCGACCCCATTGCCGCAGGCCCATACGCCCCGCCCTCCATCGAAGCCATCATCTTCCTCATCGGCGTACCGTCCTGCCCTCCGGGACCCCTCAAATTCACCGCCTCGGCAAACATGCGCAGCTGCATCGGGAACCGCGGGTCGCCATACCGCTCAATGATATCAGCCTTCTCCACGGCGGACCCCAAATCGTAATAATCATCCTCCTCCGCCCCGCCCACGCGCTCGCACGCCGCCTGCTTCTCCGCGCTCCACCACGCCGGCAACAACCCCTTCCGCTTCGCAGCGTTCTTCAAAAACCGCCGGAACCCCTCGAGCCCATTGTCCGCGCCGCCGTAGATGCTGTCCTCGGCCGCGTCCCCGTCGATGTTGTACTCGTCCTCGACGTGCAGGCGGTACGCGTCGATGAGGAGGCGGTAGACGTCCTTCTCGGGCCGGTCGTGGAGCCAGGTGCCGTTGTCGAGGCGCGTAAAGGGCCGGGTGACGGGTTGGTCTAGGCCCTTTGGCGGGGACAGCGCGGTGCCGGCGGATGTGGGGTTGCCGCTGGCGCCGGCGGGACCACCACCACCTCGGGGCCGTGCGGAGGCGTCGGTCCGGCCGCACGTCTTTTTGTGGGATTTCCAGTCGGCCTTTTGGCAGTCGCGGGAGCAGTATGGTGTTGTGGCGCACTTTGCGCAGTTTTTAAGGTTGACCTGGGGTGGACCCTTTTTGCAGACTGTGCAGGAAGACATGATTTTTTCTTTTTCGGAGGGGCTTGAGCGGTTGAATGTTGAGAGATAGGTATCTGGAAAGAGATCAAGATAATGTTGACTGCTGTTGATTGACGAACGGCAGTTGGGCTATATACCCAACTAAGTACCCAGGTATCTGCCCCCTGGGGCCACCCCGCCTGACTTGGGGTACCTTACATGCACGTGCATGGTTATCTTGTCATTTTGGCTATGTCACATGAAAACACCTAGTCAACTGCTGGAATTGAAGGAAGGGCGTTGTGAGTGTTCGAACGGCTGGTGAAAGTTGAATGTTGCACATAGAATAGGAGGATGGACTAGATTGTGGGGGAACTAGGAAAAGGAACTGATCGCACTTGGTTGTTGGTAGGTAGCAATCCTTCGAGGACAAGTGATATGCGACACGGGATAAGCAACCTATACTAGTAGCTATTACGTGCCGTACGGATTGAGAGGATTGACATGCTTGTTCACCAGGGCTACCTACAGCGTCTCTGAAGACAGCTCTCGATTGAACCACGTTGAACCTCGCTGCAGGTGTTCAAAAGTTGAGCCAGTGACGAAATTCTGTCTCTCATAGTGGCCACGAAGAGGTATCATATTCAAAAGGAAAATTATACCAGACAATTAGAGCTGTTTCCATGCTTGCCCGTAAAACGCCAGGCCGTATGTGCCTCCTTGGGCACTCACGTCTCGTCTCGCCTTCCCACACTCTTAACTCTCCTCCTTCTCGTCGGCAGCCTTGGCTTTCGAAGCACCAGTCATGCTATGTACTAAATCAGCGAACCGGCCCTTCGAAGTAGCTAGGTTTGTATCGGCCTTTGGCGTCCCCACGGGCGTAACACCCGCCGAAGTACCCTCTACGACATTGGCGACCTCCTTGTAATGCTCGCGGTCTTTTACGAAGCGCGTCAGGTACATCGTCTTCTGCCGCGTCTGCTTCCTCATGATGCGCTCCACCTCAGCCTCGTACGCCTTGTCATAAATGTTGAAGTCGACGTTGGTCGGCGACTCGGCCACAGCTCCGGCCGACGGCTCGTCCTTGTCGAACTCGTCCCGAGAACCGATGCCGATGCCGAGGATGCGGGGTTCCGAGTCGGACCTCTCGGTGGGCGCAGTCTTGGTTACGTCGGCGAGGCTGTTCTTCTTGAGGAACTCGCGGCGTTTCGAGAGAAGGGCCTCAATGTCTTCGTGCATCGCAACCAGACGGGGAGAGTCTGTCTGGGAACCTTCGCGTGATTTGGCGTTTCTTTGCCTCGTGAGAATGTTCTTGAACTTATGAATTGCTTTCATCTGCCGTGGTTATTAGCTTCTTTGTAGCGCAGCAACAAGGATGTGGGTGTGTTGCTCACCACGCAGAGGAGATGGTTCATCTTCCGCGTAAAGGCGCGGTTTAGCTCAAGCTCGTTTGGGGGCTCCACGATGTTGGAGCAGTTTTCTTCCTTTGACAGCAGAGGATCCGTCCCCTGTTTCGTAACCCACGGATGATCCTATTTCATGATCAGCCAAACGAAAATCTGGCGCCGCAGATGAAAAACTAGTGCTCACCCGCAACTCGTGCATCTGGATGCGCTTCTCGGGGTCCTTTTCCAGAATCCTGCTGATGAGGTCCACAAAGTCGGGATTCTCATCCTCGGGCAGCTCAGGGGAATCTGTCTTGATAGCTTCGTACATCTCAAGAACACCCTCTTGCTCAAATGGGATTTTTCCGTAGCGTAGACAGTACAGCGATATGCCCATGGACCAGATATCCGTGGCCTTGCCATCGACGTCGCCATGTCGGACCACGCAGAGCTCGGGGGCAAGGAATGCCGGGGATCCTGCCGATTTAGCCGTCTTCATGGGGTCTCCCGGCTTCTCAAACATCTCGGAGACGCCAAAGTCTACAATCTTGAGCACATCGTCATCGGTGAGAAGAAGGTTGTCCGGCTTGATATCACGGTGAATGACACCTTGCTCATGTACTAGACCGTGTTAGTCTGGTTGGTCAGGATATACGTGGCAGTCGACTTACAATATTCGATGCCTAGAATCAGGTCTCGAAACCAATAACGACAAGAATCTTCGCCATATGGCTTCGCCTTCTCGTTGAGTCCGACCTTCATTACGACACCTTTCTTGCACATTTCAAGGACCATGTACAGTGAGTCTTCCTCCGGGTCGTCCAGCACTTCAATTAGCTGGACCAGGTTCGGGTGATTCAGCTTCTTCATGATGGCAATCTCCTCTCTGATAAAGAACAGGGCATCGTTGACGTTCCAACCAGCGTTGCCTTCCTCGCCGAAATGAGGCGAAAGCGGTGCGTTGAGACTAACACGGGGGGCGAAGCGCTGGGGTCGGCGAGCGCCCTGCCGCAGAATGTTGGACTGCGCGCGTTTCCGAAGCCGGACTTTTGAGAATTCCTTGACGGCCTACGGGTGGATGTGAGTATGGGAAGGGTCATCACTTGGAAGCTTGGAAGGCTCATACGTATTCGGTGCCAAATTGGTCGGTCGCAAGGTGAACAGCACCATATGATCCCCTGCCAATTTCCTCTTTAATGACATACTGGTTGATGCGGTGGTGACTTGAGCCGTCCTCAGCCTCGGTACCATATTCTGTCACGGCGTTGAGCGTTTCCTACAGTAGTTCCTTGGTGAGTTTCTCTGGACATTGCTCCGGTTCGTCGTCATCGCAGCTACCCCGCCCCCACCACGCTCAACCAGCAGCAGCGGGGCAGGTCGAAAGCTGAGCTTTTCAACGAAGCTTGGCGAAACAAGAACATACGCACCTTGACTTCACGGTGAGCTGAAGGCGTTCGACGGTGATGCCTCATGGGGCTCTGAAACTTTGATGGTTGGGCAGCCGAATCGGATCTGTACCGCGTAGGGCGAGGAGGAGGTTAGAGTAGCTCGCCGCGCATTGGTGGAGCGCGCGGGGGAGGCAGTGCAAAGTTGCAGCGCAGCGCAGAGAAGCAAAGTGAGTAAGCAGTGCAGTGACTGACGTACATGGGGGCAAGCGGCGGACGAGTCTCGGCGGGCCCTTCACCGTGGAACCCTACTGCGATGGTGGGTGAGGACATGCTTGAGGTTGCGAGGGTCGTCGAGGCCATGGCCGTCGTCGGCGGGCTCTGAGGTTCGCCGGAATCCGTCATTGTTTTGCCTTGCGCGAGGCTGAGGAATTGCAGATGGGAGAGTGTGTTGTAAGCTTGACGTGATGTTGGAGAAGTAACGTCGGAGAGGCGAGTGCCGGGTGGGGTGAGAGTGAGAGTGAGAATGAGAGTGAGAGAGCTAGCTACAATGCTCTGCTTTTGCTCATTCGGAGCTTTGCTATTCAAAATGGCCGAGCTTAAGGAGCACCCCAATTCTTGAGGCAATACAATACTAGGTAGGTATGACGGATAGGCGCGAACGGCCGGACGAGCGAGCGATGGAGCTGGCGACGTTTTGAACCTGGAAGCACCTGGAAGCGCGCGTGTGAGGTGAGAAAAGCGAAAGCGACGTCAAAAGAAAGGAAACAATAAGCAAGGGCACTAGGATTCGCGAAAACGAGACGACAGCTGAGCTTTAAAACCCGACCGAAAGGAAACAAGGGCCCGGGGGTGGGAAGAGAGTAAGAAGTACTTTGTATTCGAAGGTGGAAAAAAAATAGGCGTTTCTCCTTCAGCTCTTCAGGCTCAGAGTGAGCCCCCTTCCAGCCCCCACGTCTGTTATTTTCCCCCCCAAGGATCACCTCGCAGGTCTCCAGTGTTCTCAACGCCCTACGAAAAGCCCAGGTTCCGTCTTATCCATTTCCACGGCTCCTCATATCCATGCCCAGCATCGCTGCCCGTTGTCATTGGGCGCATCGTAGATTTCACATCATGGGCTGACTAGTGTGCTCCCCTCGTAGGGCCAGCTCGGAACCCCTCCTTGCGCCAAAGAATTACGTTCCGTCCGGGGGGTCCACCACAAGGCAGAGTGACCACCCCCCTGCCAGCATCTGTACCTTACGCAATCGGACCAGCTCCAGCCCACAGTTGCAATTTCAAAGGTCCACCGAGGTACCTGTCGACCGAGACAAGCAACGGTAGCCGCGTTTCGGGGCTGGGGCCACTGAACGGCCGACCACACTCAATCGTCCCGCCCAAGCTAGCTACGTGCTATCTCAACCTCTAGGAACATCTTGCGCCTTTCAACCCGTGATACCCAACGACACCGAAAACCAGCGAATTTATTGACGACACGAAAGACGACCAGATCAAAATCCCGAATCCTCTAGATCTAGAAGCAATCCGCAATTCACGTACCTTGCACATCTCCCCGGCATGCCCCCCTAAACGACCAACCTCCATCCCTTTCCGCCTCGCCTCGCCTCGCCTCGTCGACAAACGACACCGAAACCCGGCGCAAACACGCGCAACCCCCGCGCCGCCGTCGCGGCCGTCCCCTAGCCCAACATGGTCGTCTACTCCTTCTACATCTTCGACCGCCACACGGAATGCATCTACTCAAAAACCTGGCTCCCCGCCGAGCGCCCGCCATCCCAACAACCCCCCTCATCAGCCGGGACGGGCGCCGCACCGCCATCATCACAGCAGCTCGGCCGCCGCAGCCAGGTGAACTCGGCCAAGGACGACGCCAAGCTCATCTTTGGCACCGTGTTTTCCCTCCGCAACATGGTCCGCAAGCTCGGCGGGGACGACGACGCCTTCATCAGCTACCGCACGTCGGCCTATAAGCTCCACTACTACGAGACGCCCTCGAACCTGCGCTTCGTCATGCTTACTGATACGGCGACGCTGAGTATGCGGAATGTGCTGCATCAGATTTATATCAACCTCTGGGTTGAATACGGTATGGTGACAATGGTCCCTCGAGAACTTCCTCTCCTTCCCTGGCAATGGATTATGGAGTGCTGACCTCTTTTGTAGTCGTCAAGAACCCCCTAGCACCAGCCGAACACAAGGGCGGCGAAGGCGTCAAGAACGAACTTTTCGAGCTGGGGCTGGATCAGTTCGTCAGGGGTTTGATGTGAAAGGACACCGTACTCGCCGTTCGGCAGCCAGGTTGGGAAGGAACAAAGAATAAGAAAACACCAAACCCAGGAAAAGACGATACGTGACTGGGAGCCCTTAGACCTGGGGAGGGCAAAGGGAAGAACTCCAGTGACCCAACAAGTGAGAAATCGATGTGGAGCCGCAACGACTTTTTGCCAGGCTGGCATCATGGAACAAGTGTTCACGGGAGGCATTGTAGCTCCTCAAACCGATCACGTACTTGACGTCTAAAGAAGAAAACTTCGCGTCACAAACATAGACCAAAAAGAGGCACATCAGAACAGCTGGATGGTTTGATAATAAGAACGAATCATCAGCAGAATCGCGGGCTGAGCAAAATGGATCAAAGGAATGGATGGAGGCTGTGCCATCTCTGATCCCAGGCTAAGCCCCCGTGCTTTGTTGGTACAGTTTCGAGAGATGGACCATCTGTCTCTCGACCATAGATTATACAATGATACCTATATTTCCAAAATCCTCCCTCCCTTGCCTTCCCATCTGTCCTGTCCGTATGCCCGTAAATATCATTAAAATCGTCGTAGCTCAGCTCACATACCTCGAAACACACATCAATCGAGGTTCGGGCCACATGTACATGTTATGTCTCTCTATTTTGGATGGAAGGCCTACTTGCTGTCCACCGCCCTCCCCCATGCGCTCTCAAAGCTAGACTGCGGTTTCACCATCACGAGGCTGTCCTCTCCGGTGCCCTGCGTCGTCCCCTGCGTCTGACTTGGGAAAGTCGCAGCAGTGCCCTGGCTTGCGCGAGGCACCTCGCTGGCCCTCACGTCGACGGCGCTCGCCATAATGCCCTCCTCGTCGTGGTGGATCTCATTCTCCCAGTTGCTTGAGTACACCACGGCCGCGAAGCCCTCGAGGTCGGCGACTTGCTCCATCTCCTGTAGGTACTCATTCGGCATCCCGTTGCCAATGATGTGGGCTTGCCTCGTGAGGACCGAGAGGATTTTGGGCAAGAGTACAACCACCTGCGACGAGCGCGGCTCCGACTCGGCGAGGTCCGGCTTATCAAATGCTGCTGACGAGAGCTTCTTATCCACGAGCAGGGAGAAGCCCGCATCGAGGATGAGCGTGAGCACGTGCGTGAAGGAGGGCGACTCGATGAGATCCGACGTCTCGTCGAGCAGCCTTCTCACGGCAGGCGACGATGAGGGCGAAGACTGGGACGTGGCGCTCTCGGACAGCATCACGGTGCTCTCCTCCAGAATGCCCGACTCGCGGAGGACGTGGTCCTCCTTGTCCCGTGGCGGGAGGAGGTAGGGCAGCCACTTTGCGGCCCTGCGCTCTTCGGGCGTGGCGCCCTCGACGGCCCTGCGCACCGCGAGCGTCAGCTCCGAGAATTGCTCGAAGCTGAGCAGGTCGCGCGGGCTCAGGTGGCCAAAGACCTGGCGGACAGCAGTCTCGACGCGCTGGCCGAGCTCCTTCCACCCCTCGTTCAGGAGCCACCAGCTGAAGGTCAGGTAGCGGCGATTCGTCTCAAAGTCGTTGCCGTAGGGCTGGTCGAGGCCGTCGTCGTCGTTGTTCTCCAGACTGATAGTCGCTTGGGCAGTGCCGGTCGCCAGGGATATAACGCTCGAAAGGTAGCTACGGCGGCCGAGGAGGTTGAGTTGGACTCTTGTCAGCATCGTCAGCAACGCGAGGGTGTATAATAGCGTGAACGCTCTTGTTATGGCTGCGATGTCAACGTTAGCATCTTCTCTTCTCTCTTATCTTCTCCATCATATCAGATAGGCGTCACTCACAGCTGATGGTCAGATCATCCCACAACTGCCTCTTCGACTTCCGACTCTTCTGCGCCGCCGCCGCCCCGCCATCCTGTTGCGCACCCTCGGCGGCCCCTCCCGCGGCAGCCGACGTAGGGGCCGGTACCGTCAACTGGCTCGCGTGCACACCGCTCTCGCTCTGGACGCTGCTGCTGACCATGCTCCGTCCGTCGTCTTCGGTCATGGTGGTATCTGCGATACTCGGCGGGCTGCCGCTGCCGCTCTTGAGGCTCTTGGTCTGACCCTTCATCTTCTGGATCTCGTAGGTGATCTTCTCGGTGTTCATGACCTCGAGTATATTCGTCGTCGCCGAGGGGAGGAGTGCGAGCACAGTAAATGTGCAGTCTTCTTGGTTTTGCTCGAATCGGCGGCGGAGGCTGCGATTGTGGCACGGCGGTGTTAGCCGGGGGAGGGCGATCATGGTAGCTTAGAGGAGGGTATCTTGGGAATGTAGCTCACTTCTCCTTGGCGATGCGATCGCTGCTCATGCGCTCACGCGCATCGTTGATCTTGCCCATGACATACTGCGACACGACATAGCCTGCGCCGACTACACCCACGCTCACAGCGAGGGGTGTCCTGTTTCGGCGGAACCATCGCCGAGTGGCTTCCAACATGGTTCGGTCTGGCGCGACGAGCGACTCAATGTCCAGGAGGTGAGCCTGGCTGTTGATGGAAAGGTAAAGTCCGGTCCGGAGTATGGTAGAGGGGAATGGAGGTAAAAGGACCAGGAGGATTGAAGTTTAACAAAGAATGCGAGAATAGTTAAAAGAACCCCGAATTGAAGCTTTCGAACCGAGTTAGAGAGTTAAAGAATAGAAAAAGGCGGTCGTTTTGCTTGGGGAATCATATGAAAAAAAGAAGATTGGGAGATTTTTTGTCTATTAAACCCCCCCAAAATTGGCTATCTGGGCGAGCTCTAGGAAGGCTGGTCGGCACGTAATGATAAGTTGGAGCAATTAAGCAGACCGGGAGGAGAGGAGCTCGCGCCTGAAAGCCCAGTGACTGGCTGCTGCTCTCTGCGAGTCGTGAACCGTGATTACCTCGGCCCAGCCACACCCACGTTCCCGCGTCATCTCAATTTATTGCCCGTGTTTCCCAACTCTCTTGCCCCAACAGCTGTGGCTGAAGTGCCGGTACCGCAACCGCCGCCGCATCGAGCGCTTCCCCGGTAAGGTAGGTGGTGTAGGTACATCACTGCTCGCCCTTGCTGCCCACCACCAACGTCTGCACAAGTATCGTAAGTACCTTACCGTACGGGCGACTACTGCACAAGACTATGGCCACTCTCTCATCCCCAGGACCCAGCTCGGGGAACTTGGGAGTACCTTTCCCAACCAGGAAGAGTACCCCTGCTACCGATATCCCGTCCTCCCCCCCGCCTCTGTCCCTTCCCTCCCTGGATCAACACAGCGGTACTGCGGTAGTGACTCCCCGCTCTCTTCTGCCCGCCCTCCCCCTTATCGGTGCGGCGCATCAGTGCTGGGCTCAAGTGTGCCCCTCAGTACATCTGACACCTTTCTTTGGGTCATTCCCTCACCTTACCTGAGGCAGAGGGAGAGGTATCTGTCACTCTCTCTCTCTCTCTCTCACGCCAACCGCATCTGTCTATCTGACAACCAACTCACCAAGCAAAATACCTTACCATATTCGCAAAAGGCACGATGCAGCAGAGCAGCGCTCCCGAGTTCATTCTCGAGGCCTTTGCGGATCCGGCCTCCGTACGGGATGTCGTCAAAGGTACCTACCACCTGTCTCCCATCTCCTGTCCCCAGTTCTCTTTCCCATAGGTAGCCCGCAGTTCGCGCGCGCCCCGCCAGACGTCATATCCGCCCTCAAAACGAACGACAGCACCTTCCGAACCTCTCAGCCTCGCGATGCGACGGGCGCCTGCCTTGCCAGTCCCCCTCCAAAGCGCAAAACCCAAGCCATGCCACACGAAACCAGTTTTTCCCATGGTAATGGCCCTTGAACAGAAACAAATGCTGATAAAACAACCTCGTCGCCGTGATACAGGAATCCTCCACACAATCTTCTTCCACCGCTTCTTCCCCGCCGTCGTCCCCTACACCCGCGAAGTCCTAGACCTGACTCTCCCCTACGTCGACGACGTCGAGCTCGAGACCATGATCGAGCAACGCGCCACCGCCCTCGTCCGCCAGCTCGACGCGGAGCGCTCCTCGTCCGGCTCCGGCGGCGGTGGTAGCGGCGGCGGGCGCGGCCAGCTCACCGTCCAGTTCTTTGAGAAGAAGCGTCGCAAGGCCTGGCTCATGCGCGGCGACGAGGAGGTCTGTTGGGAATGCTGGACCGTAAAAGTCACGGTCGCGGAGCCCAGGACGGAAACTGGTGGGTTCTGCCTGCCCTTCTCCCTTTTGGTAACCCGGTAGAGGGGGGGCGCATTAGTAGAGGGACGTACAAAGATGAGATACTGACCGTTGTCGGTGAAACTTTTTCCAGAGCGAGCCAAAGTCCGAAAAGCCATGGAGACGACGCTCATGACGACCGTCATGAAGGTCATTACCTTTGTCAACGCACACAAGGACCACATCCCTCCGATAACGACGCAGGGTTCAAACCCGTTTCCCTACCAGATCAACATTAACCAAAAGGAGTCGGGCTGGGCTACGAGGATGGGCATTTACTAATTTTGCGCATTCGGGTCGACGACGCTGTGAGACTGTAATAAGATGCTTTTTGGTAAGATGCCTCTTGGTTTTGTTTCTGAGGATTTGATACGGATTTTTGGATAGTCTTTTCCATGTTTTGGCTTGGTAACAACGGCATCAACGAACCTAGGATGACGACGGCGACGCTGCTGGCAGATATTGTAGAGGTGGTACACAACATTCTGAGGCGTTCTGGGAACAAGGCATGATTCACATGAGGCATAGACATGTAGGACATTTGGGGAAGTTTAGAGCAAGACAATATGATACCCGTTCTTGAGTTCAAATATCGGACCGAGAGGTCACGCATGCCAAAACCTAGCCTCTTCGATGATTTATGACGAACTGACTAGTTCCGAGGAGATGGTTATCTTGTTATACGTGCCTAACACCACACAGTCGAGAGTCATGCTAATTTGAACATGCGTCTGATCCACCAGGCTCTTGATGTCTGATATGATGTGATTGTTGCGGATAGCATGCGGAATGTCCACATAAAGGGCAGTACAACCACATGCATGGAATATAGACATTCTTTAAGATACTCGCAACAGTCATCTCATCATTGGCATCTTGAACAACGTTTGCGAGAAGGCTCTGTTTAGTGCGTGTTTCCATAGAATTGATCACTACCAGTGTGCCTAGCAAAAGGAGCGAAGCTAATACGCTACACATCCAACCCGTATTTTCCTACACAGCAAGAAACACAAACAACCAAATGGCCTATTCCGGCCAAACAGCAAAAAAAAGCGAATCTCGAGCCGAACCTAACCTGGTTCAAGGCCGACGAAAGCAAAAAAAAAAAAAAAAAAGAATCTCATGGTGCCCTCCGTGCCTCTCAAGAAATGATGATGTCCCTTCGCTTTCCCCCCCTTTGCCCACCGGAAAAAAAGAAGGAGAGCCAAGACATTATATGTGCACTGCTTCGTCATTATCATAAAGCAAACAATCATGGACAAGAGAATTGTGAAAGCCTCGAAGCCCGAATCAGACATTAGTCTTTAAAATCAGTCCAAAGTTTTTTTGTTTCCCCCGCGCGCTCCATTATCGTGTGAAGTGTTTGTCGAAACAGGCCCTGAATGCCTGAATGCATCGGGACGTCATGCCAGTAATTGTGTTCATACATCGTAACGGTCGTCATCGTCGTCTCGTTGCAAGAGATTAGAATTGCGTGGTGTAGCTTCGTCCAAACGCAGGCTTGCTGGGCTTGGAGCCGGAAGCCTTGGGCTGGGAGCCAGAGCCAATCTTCTCAAAGCCTTGCAGGATGTCGAGACCCGAGTACTCGGTGGTCTCCTCCGACAAGAAGTCTGTCGTGTCGAAGGAGAACGAAGGCCAGTCGCCCTCGGCCGCTACCTCGTAGAATGAACTAGATATCTTGGTCGGCGAGGGGAATCTCCATTGCACGGCGGCGTCGTTGTTGGCTTTGATTGGGGAGGACAGGCCGTCAAAGACCTTGCTAGGAGTCTCCCACATGGCAGAAGGTTGTGCAGGTGCCTTCAGGAAGGGCGTTGAGAGAACCGACTTGTTGCCGTTACCCGAGTCATGAGTATCGGCCAAGGCATTGGCAGAGTGAGTACGCTCCAGACGGGGTCGCTTTCCACCAGACTTCTTGGACGGAGACTCTTGAGGTAGGCCGTCAAAGAAGTCGTTGTCCATGTCCTGGAAGATGTCAAAGTCACCAGCAGCCATCAGGTTGTAGTTGTAGACACTCTCGTCCAGGTTGAAAGCGGGGCTCCACGGAGCGTTGCCGTCACCGGTGCCGACCATCTTGCGGATCGGAGACTGCAGCATCTGGCGGACATTTTCGCGGTGCTGGCGAAGATTGGTGTTAGGCGAGGCAGAAGGCGGGGCCTTGGTAGGCGGCTTCAGTTTCATGGCTGGCGTGAGCGGTGGCAGCATCTGCCCTTGTTGGCGGAGCGGCGATGAGGACGGTGGGGCGAACGCGTTGTACGACCGACCCTTGCTAGGGCTATCGTAAGACGACGCGCGCAAGCGAGCAATCTCATCCTCGGCCCTGCCAGCGCGACTGCGCTTGCGAGGGCGATCGGCCTCTGAGGTAAGAATGCCAGTCTTTTGCGGGCGCAAAGCAGAGGATTCGAGAGACGAGATGTAACCACTGTCATCCATGGACGCGAATTTTCTCTTGTGAGATCTGGTGATGGACGACATAGGTCCGCGGCCAGGCGGAGGAGGCGTGCGGCTGCGGGGCTCCATGTGTCGCGGAATTGGCGGTGAAGAATGCATCGTAGGCGGCAGAGGAGAGCATTCGTGGTCCAGCTTATCTTGTCCATCTTCCGGTGCGGCCGAGTCCGAGACGGGAATGGTGGCATCGGATGAGAACTCAACGGCAACGGTAGCCTGGGAAGTGGGCAAAGGCGGGAGCGTCGTCGCATGTCTGATCGGTGCAGGAGGCGGAAGGGTCGGCTCCTGGATCGGCATGTTGGCCGGCCTTGAGGGTTCCATACGGGTTGACATGACGGGCACGTTTTCGGCGGTTGTTGCCGTCTTTCTTGCCGGCTTGTCCTTCATGAATTGTTGCTCCATGCCCTCCTGGATCGTCCAGTAATTTCCCTTACCCGGGTCGTCCTTTGGTCGTTCCACCTTGATAAAGGCCTTGTGAAGGCTGAGGTTGTGCCGAATGCTGTTCTGCCATCCCGATTCCTCCGCCTTGTAAAACGAGTACGTGTCTGAGATCCACTTGTAAATTTGTGCGAGCGTCAGGCGACGCAGTGGTGATCGAAGAATTGCCATCCCAATCAAAGTCGCGTAGCTGTGGCCCGGTTTCGTTCCATCGTCGACGATTGGAGGGAAAGAGTCGTGAGGTGGAAGGCCGGACTCGTCGGCCTTTACCTTCTTCAGAGGTCGTGATTCCTTGATCGGCGCAGCCTCCATCAATGTGCGCTTTCCGGGTCCCTTGTGCATGTAGAATTGATCAAAGTTGATGGTCGGTGGCGCAGGATACAACTGCGGGTGAACGTTCTCCTTCCCGAAGCCGGCGGCCAAATCCACAGAAGGAGGCTTCTGTGCGACGGTCTTGAACTTGGACAAGTAGGGCTTCTTGTGTAGCGAGTCGGTGTTCTGGTTGTTTGCTGATGGTGGCGCCATTGGCACCATGTTCAACTTGCTGCCCTGGGACTTTAACGGGGCATGGTGCGATTTGATGTTGCCTGATGATGCCTTTAGAGGCGAGTGTCTGTCGGATGCGAGCATCGGAGGGTTGAGAACGACATTGTTGTTACTTGTTGCGCCAAGCGGCCTCCTCGGTGGCTTGGAGGCGGCAGGCATGGGTGCGTGGTTGATCATTGTTGTCGAGTTCTCGAAAAAGTCGTCTTGGAAGATTTGCAAAGGCTCATGAGAGCCGGTATAGCGCGTGGGTTTGGCCATTTCGGCCGATTGTAGTTGAATGATGTCGTCTCCAAACCTGCGTCAAGTGCGTTCGCGGCAAGTAGTGGGCTGTGGGAGGGAGGGCATGTCAGCGAGCCGCAAAGGCATAAGGTTAGATAAGTAGTTGACGGTGTGGTCTTGACTCTGTCAACCTGACAGGGCCCGGCTTCAAGGTTCTTGAACCCGAACGGGGTTTTGCATGATTGAAGGGAGGAGAAAGAGAGAGGAGACTCAAGGCTCACCTAGGTCGGGTCTAGACTTTGGAAATGAGTTGTGGGTCGTGAATGCAAGGGGGCCTTTTGGCGGTCAAATTGTAAGTTTAGCGACGGGATCGCTGGATCGACACGATGCGATCAGGCAAGCGATGGCGATATCCTGCGAAGAGTGGTGCCCGACAGACAATGTTGAAGAGCGACGACGATGCTGTGCGAAGTCGATAATGCGCGATGGGATGTGAGTGTGTGTGTGTGAGAGAGCGAGGGAAAGAGTCAGAGGAGAGCAGCAGGCGAGGGTGAGGGTGAGGTATGGCTTATGGCTGCAGAAAGGTGAAAAGAAAAGAGGGGATATCAGGCACGATACCACGCGAGGGAGAGGAGGGTAGGCAAGATGTAATAGGCGAGCCAGCGGCAGCGGCAGCGGTGGTAGTGGTGGTGGTGGTGGTGGTAGCAGGCGTGCGTAGGTTAGAGCAGGCAGTGAGGAGGAGGAGGAGTACGGATAGGTAGAGCGACGTGTGGGAGTCGGCGGCAGAAGGATGGATAGATGGATTGATTTCAGCCAAGGCGAGTGGAGAGGACCGGGATGTCTTTGAAGAGGTGGGCGGCCAGCTCAGCAAGCCCAGAGATGTCCGGTGGGGCCTCTGGAGCACGGGAGGAATGGGCGATTGGACGAGAGGAGCGTGGGCTGTGACACGACCGACCAGGCTAGGGTACGCCGAAGTGGCAGCAAGGGTGTGTAGTGTAAAGGACCTCCGTAGTCTGGTTAGATGCAGGGAGTGTAATGGAGCAGGTGTGTGTGGTGTGCGCGAATGTGAGTGAGTGTGAGAGCGAGTATGATATCGTCCGGGGTGCGATGGCATAGGCACAGGTACAGAAGGTAGCAGCATGAGCAGCATGCATGGATGATGGGTATGGACTATGGAGTAGTGTCAAGTGTGAAGAAGGTGGAGGAGGATCATGGATGGGCGATGATGGGATGCACGGCAAGGTCGACCGTTTGCTGGAACACGCCGTCCCGAAAAAAAGAGGTCGAAGTTGGAAGCCAACCGTCGCCGAGCGGGAGAGCGATCAGAAAGAAGTGCGCACACTTGGGACTGTAGTACCTAGTGCAGTGCAGTCTGCGTAAGGTATCCGAAGATAAGGTATACCTACTATCCGTACCTTGGTGACTAGATACTAAGTTACTAGACAGAAAGCTGCTCGCATCCGGGGTCGGTGCCCTTAGCCGTCACCGTTTGGTTTCTGTCAGGCGCGGAGGATGAGGATTTGCGTTTGTCTTTGCGCGTTTGCTTGGGCTTAGGTACGCCGTCGAAAGAAACGAGAGGGTCAGCCAGCCCGGTCGGTTGAAGTCGAACAGACTTTCACCCGGCTCCAGTTCAGGTCGAAGTTCAGAAGAGACCCGACTGAGGAGACAAGAAGAAGAATAAGCAGAAGAAGCTCAGGGCTCCCGGGGCCAGGCCTGTCAGACTCAGTTCCAGTGGGGAGGGAGGAGGGGGGAAGGGTGTCCGCGCGGGTTACGTCCGGCAGACAGAGGAGGAGAAGATGTGGACGAAAGAGGATCCCAGACTTCCCTAGAGCCTAGAGGTGACGACGGTTGTACGAAATGTGAATGGGCAAAAGCTGGCGACAGGACGGGAAGGCTATGCTATGCACGTACTGTATGCAAGCAGGTTTTGCAGTTCATGCGAGAGTCCGTGGTGGGCCGCCGACGGGCTTTACTGTAGGTCTGTAAGGTGTGTACCACAGTACTGCGTACGGGACTCCTCTTTTTTCGCGCGCTGTCTTCCAACAGAAATGTCAAAATGTGCGCGTGTCTGCCACCAAGAAAGGTTGAATTTCCACTGCATATGCACCGGCACCACTGAACCACCCCCAAGGTCCCCTACTTCCCAGCACGCCACAGGGATAGGTGCTGTAGATAACAGCTAGAGCCTCTAGATGCAGCTTGACGGGCAGCGAATGGTGTTGCATGCAGGGCTCTGCCGGGGAAATATCTGTGGATGCTGTGGGCAATGGTGCAAACTGTGATATCGCTCCGGTCCTCGACTCTTCGACTTCGTCCTTGGTGGTGCTGCGACTATCTCGAGACTACCAAAGTGTCAAAGGAAGCCCAGGCCAAACATGGTCGAGTCCAGCTGGTAGTGCAAGGCCCGAAAAATAGACCATGGAGTTTGCCTTTTCTTCCTCTGGCAATGGCCGAACTGCTAGTCTTTCACACGGTTGTGGCTTGTTCGGCTAAGCGCTCGTTTGCCGTCAATTGGCTGATCTGATCTGATCTGATCTGCAGCCATGATGAAATGGGTTTCCTATCTAAGAAGACAGAGAGGCGAACAAAAATGGTAATGGCTATGTGGTGCGACTGCGTTTGTGTGCGAGCCTGTAAGGGCTCAAAAAGAGGTTACTGTCTCGCTCTGCGACGGCTCTGGTGTCCTCTCTGTGGTGCCCTCATCCGGTCTCGTTGAGATGGCCTCTTTCTTGCGCTGTCTGCTGGGATTGATTGGGTCGAGGGTTCGAGGCACAGGTCATGGATGATGGAATGAAGTCGGCGCGTAGCTGACGCGTCGCACCGATTTGGGAAGAAAACAACAAACGCGCCCACCATCAGCCAATCAAAACGGCCAAATCACATGACTGTGCTCCCGATTGGCTGTCGTGCCCCCCATCCGATGAAACTGGGTCATCCCAACTCATGTGCCCATTAGGAGTAGGAGCCATCACGGAAAGCAAATCACGGATAACCGCTGGAAAGGCTGGACGACATCTTTTTTCTTTTTTTGTCAGACTGACACCACTTAAACAAATTTTCATATTCTTCCCACTCCATCTTAGTTTTTAATGGCTTAGGCTGTCTTGCAACGATTGTCCCCGCTGTGAAACTGAGACCGAGACCTAGGTACCAAGACCACCCCCCGTCTAATGCTGGCCAGATCGTCAGGTACGGAATGTGACGGGCGTCTCACTTCACCTCCCGATGATATAAGATGAGAGACGATTGCGCGCGCTCATTCCGCCTGACCTCATCTCTCGCCTCGTGCTCTGCGTTTTCAAAAGTCTTGGACGGCTAGACGGGTCTTTCTGGGCCGAGCATGACCAACCTGTCCGTGCCTGTGGAGGATCCCATCAGAATGATCCAAATTCTCGTCAATGCTTTCCTTCCATCATCCCAGCTGTTTGATTCCCAACCGCGAGGAACAGACTTCTAGAACTGGGCTAGATGGGGCGCTGTTCAGAAAGGGTACCCATGGCTTTCTAGTGTAGGTAAAAAATGACTAAAAAATGCTCGAGCCTCGGCGCAGGGAGCACTCTGGAGCGCCCATCGCCGGCCGTGAAGACACTAACATCAGCTGCACGGATATACGTTGGGAAACCTTGGAAGGCTAGTAATGCCATGGATGAGCGGTGTCGAATGGGCCTTTGCCCTCTGCGGAAAGGCGACGACAGCCGCGGTGTCGCATTGGAGCGAGCCTGACGAATAAGCATGCCATGTCTAAATGGGCGACGTCCAACGAACGTTGGGTGGACGGGTTGCAGCCCGCGGCGTGAGTTTTGTGAGTGTCACTATTCGCCTCAACCCATGTCTATCAATCACAAGTAAACGGAGGTAGCCATTGATATGTTACACAAAAAGGCAACGTTCAGGTCGTGGCGCCAATGGCGACAAGACTGCTACGACATGTGTCTCTCCACCGGGCCCGAAACTTGAGTGTTTAGAAGCACAGCGAGGCCAGGTACGGGGAAAGGGTCTCGGAAAGCAAGACAACATCTCATCATCGGCACTCCTTACTGTCAGGCACAGGACCACGGGAGCCACTGGGAGCTTACGGGTTGGAGAGGCATCTGACACTAGTCATGATACCTTTGACCTGTTCGCTCCAATTCTCTCTGTAAAGTTGCCCTGGGTCTATGAGTCCATGATCGCTGCTACGTGCTTGACGGGATGGAGATATGAGACTCCCGAAGTGAAGCCAGCCGTTGGTGAGTATCCGTACTCGGTACCTTCAGGTAAGGTCGGTCTAGGTATTTCCGCACGACCCAAATGGCCCAGGGCATCCGACAATACGAAATACCGAGAGCGGGAAAGTCCCCTCCCGAGCTCTTTCCCCCATCCGTGACATCATCCCTTCTCGCTACCGCCATAGGTACTGCGTAGGGCACAGAGTACGGAGTACATACTGCCAGCATGCTGTAATGACCAATCCCTTGCCACATATTTCCTGGCTGCTCTTTCCAGAAACCTCGTGTCTCCGCCAGTGCCCGGACGTGGCCCCAACTCTCGATCCCCAATTAAACCGTTTCCACCTCGAGCCGTCTCATTGGTTCCGCTGGCTGACAATGTTTCAACCAGAATTGGGACCAACTTACCAGGCTTTCCCAACTTCTTGCCCGTTCTTACCTGTTCCTGTCATCAGGTCCCACCGGGTCTCGAAGCCACTTCCCAGTCCAGAAAGTACGTACCGTTAACCGTACCTGAACTGAGCACGCTGAGGCAGGTGCTGCAATTTGCAACTGCCAACTGCACCTGGACAAGTGGGAATGCGTGCAACTTGCAAGTCGCAAGTGCGATGCGTCTGCAGGCAGGTGCAAGTGCAAGTGCAACGCTCTGGCTCAGCTGGTATGGTGCAGACCAAGCAGGGTTCTGGGGAGCAATTTCTCTGTTTCCTGCCGCTGCATCTTTCACCACTCATTCTTCCTCGTCCCATTCTTGATTCCCCCATTGGCATTGACATTCACCATTCACCGCTCGCCTTATCGCTTCGGCCTCCGGTACCTGACGGGCGTACTCTCCCATGTGAACTTCCCCTCACAATTTTGCGTGATCCATTCACGAACCAAGAGGGGGTCACCAGGTACCGTACCTATCTTGGCTTTTCCACTGCCAGGTTCAGCCCAGTCGTCACACCCTGTCAGTCGATCTTCGCATAAGATGCAAATCTTCCCTACGGGAGATATCCCATCTCGCACATCATTGACAACGCATCTAGCTCGCCCCGAATTCTGACTCTTCGCTATCCCCATCTCGGCATCTTTCCCACCTCGTGCTCTACTGACACTGGAGCCTCTTCCTTCTTTTCTGCCCAAGAGAAGGGGGGAAAAAAGACATCGAGATCCCCACGGAATCCGCTCCGGCGATCAAATTTTTATCCTCACTTCCCTGTGCCAGACGATATGGAGTAATTCATGGAATCAAAATTCAGAGACACATGGCAGAAATGCGACAGAGTTTTCGTCATTCTCTGACCACTCTTTCCTCTTCTTGTTCCTCATTCTCGTGCGTTTCCCGGCCCGGGCGCAACTGCCAGCTCACACCCGTTGGATGTTTGATGGGACTCTCATCTGTCCGTTTCAATGCACAAACGCAAACGCTCGCAGCGGACCACAACCCGCGCGCCGCTGCATCGCACCACTGTACTCCGTAACCCCTCCCTTTCTTCCTTTCCATCTGTATGCACTCCGTACGGCTGCGTTCCTCTCCATCATTTCCCTCTCATAGACTGTCAACCTCATTCTGGGACCCCCGAAGCGTGTATCCCTGCCTGCTCGATATTAATAGCGCTGCTTTTGATATACCCGCTCAAAGTGCCGGCCGTTCTCTCATTCTCATTCCCATCCCATCTCTGATTCAGTACCGACCTGGTCCGGCGTGTCGTCTCTAGCGCGACGATACTCCATAGTCCATTCTCCGTACCCAGAGGAGAGGGCCACCACCGCATATGCCAACCTGCGGCCTGCGGCCTGCCTGCTCTGCCTTACCTTATCATCTCCAAGCAACTTGTCTTTCCAACCCCAGCTTCACCCCCCATGTCAGGCCATACCGAAAGCCCCATATCGCCCAGATAACCCTACGGGCTGTACTCCGTAGTCCAGAAAAATCAAGGCAGCCGAGCGAAGCTTTGGGCGCATTTCAGCTCACGCGCACTGTCGCCGTCCGTCCGTTTACCGATCCCACGTTGAGTCTGTGATCCTCAGCACCCTAGAAAGAAGCATTGACGACCAAAAGTTGGCCGACTCTAGATGCCCAATTGCCGCCAGCAATGCCTTCATTCCGGTCTTCCCAACAATGGACAACGCATTTGCCATCTCATTTGCTTTTTTTCAACATGGCCCATCCGTCCGCCTCGAATTCGATCTCTGCTTTTCACTAGTTTT